CACCAGCTGAGAGGTTGAGAGAATGGGGAGAATAGAATCAGAATATCTTTATTGTTGTTGTAACAAGTACAACTAAATTAAGTCCCTGCGGTGTTGCATCCTCTAGTCAAGTTTCTGGTGGAAACATTTAAAACAATTGTTTAATATTTGTTTCCTGTATTTGCAGAGGTATTTTCAACACAAATATAACTGCTGCGTATAGAGAAATAACAAATATGTGGTTAATCACTGAGGTTTATCCTGAAAGAAAGGGTGGTTTCTGTTAGGGAAAAAGGAAAAATAAAGGGAACTGTGGACAGCTTTGATTTATCCATAATGTGTTTAGTGAAATATTTTTTCATCCGAATGGGATTGTGCTAGTTCCAGTGAAAAAAGTATCAAGAGCTGCAAAACGTTGTACATTCATAGCCTCAGTGTGTGAGTATCAACACCAAAATGTACTTGAAAACAAATGTCAAACAAATAGTTGTGTCAATGTATTTTTTTATGTGAAACACATTGTGGTGTGCTTTTTTTTTTTCTTTTACGAATAACACTGCTACATAATGTGTTTGTTGCATATTACTGCTATAGTTTTTTATGTGTTATATATTTTGGTGAGTGAGTTCACCTACAGCATTACATAATTTATAAGGATCTGTCTGTGAAGGTTCTCAGTCATCCAGGTCATCGTAGTCAAAGGAGCTTGCAAAGAAAAGCGTCTGGACTTCTTTAAGTTACTTGAAGACGTTTCACCTCTCATCCAAGAAGCTTCTTCAGTTCTAAGGTCAAATGGTGGAGAGTCCCAGATATAAACCTAGTGGGAGTAACCCCCCACCCCCCTTGTGGATCCCACAAGGAAGCTGTCCCACTCAGACCCATAGTCAGTAGCATAAACTCAGCCACTTACAACATTGCTAAACACCTTGCTACCATCCTTGCTCCTCTCGTGGGGAACACTCCACACCACATCAAGAACTCCACCGACTTCACCGACAAGGTCCAGAAACTTCCCCTGGATCCAGATGAAACCATGGTGTCCTTTGATGTAGTCTCTCTCTTCACTTGCATACCCACCACGGAGGCCGTGGAGACTGTCAGAAAACAACTACAAGAAGACAGCTCCTTGGAGGACAGGACCAACTTCACACCCGATCAGATCTGCACACTGTTAGACCTCTGCCTCACCACTACATATTTCAAGTACAACGATGGCTTTTACAGACAAAAACATGGCTGTGCCATGGGCTCCCCGTGTCACCTATTGTAGCCAACCTTTACATGGAGGAAGTGGAAAGGAAGGCTCTTGGCTCTTTCAAAGGAAGAGTACCCAGCCACTGGTACAGATATGTGGACGACATCTGGGTCAAAATCAAGACACAAGAAGTGGAATCCTTCACTGCGCACATTAACGCTGTGGATAAAAACATCAAGTTCACCAGGGAAGACACAAAGGAC